AAACAAACTGCTTAATCAGAATATTGATTTGCTGTTTTCATGTGGCTTTGTGGCCCAGCTCAGGGCACCCCACACACAACAAGTGACCCCAGGGGTGTGAATGAAGCCAGTGAGAGCAGCGCAGGGGGGGTAATTCATCAGGTGTTTGTGAATGGAAGGAATTTTACAATGCGCTCTATTCTTTTGAAATCAGAAAAAAAAATTCAGGTGACATCTCTAAGACCCAAAAAACCACTTATAGGGAACAGCACACGTGGTAAAAAAAAAGGGGGGGAAATATGCTTTGGTATGCCTGAAGCAAACGCAAAGCACGATGCTGAAAACAACTAAACATCCAAAAACACAAACAAGAGGAAAGGTAGCAAGTTTTATTGTATTCAGTGGAGTGAAAAGCTTGTACTTTGGAGTTTGGATGGTGACAGTGGCTGGTTCTGTGCCCAGTGAACCCTACCTGTCGGTGAGCATTCCACCCCCCCAGCACAGGCTGTTGCCACTGCAGAAGGACAGCTGAATGAGAGCCTGCCGAAGCCTGGCAAGGGGAATGGAGCCAGGAGCAAAGAGTCACACTTTAATTTATACCCACTATGTCAGTTTGAGCTCATAGTGCAGTACTCTCAGATACACATAGCCATGTCCCACTGCCATCCCTGAATGCCATTCTTTGAGCTACAACCTGTCTTCTGTCCTGACTGTGGAGAAGGCTAACGATGAATGAGGTGAAGGATGAAGGATCTCATGGCAATTGCTTTGGAATAGCTAACATCCGCACAAAATTAGACAGGATATTAATAAGCTGGCAGCTCACCAACTCAGCTGCACTAAAACTGTGCACAGCCCAGGACTTCGCCCTGTGTGTTCAGGGAGGTGGACTGGAGGGTGTCAGGGCTGGCATTGAGAGCGGGCATCACAGCCCATAGCCGTACCTGTATGCTGTGGGCTCTGTGTAGAGATTTTGCATTCATCACACATGGAATGGACTTGAATACCTTCCTAGATGAAGGGGGTTTTGCTCATCCAATGTTCTCATGAGCCCAGGAAGCTGGAAGCCTGCTGTGCTGCAACATCAATATAGCATTTGCTGTCCATGTCTTGAGAACACTGCCCTCTGACTGAAAGCTCAACATGACATTTGCCATTTTATGTTAGAAATACAACTCAAACGTAACTAATTCTAACCTTCATCCCTTATCTGAATGTCATAATTCTTAATTTGCAGATAAACTGGCTTTTAAATTAACAGATATGGCAAAGCCAATGATGGCAACTTTGTGGTTACGGATATTAGGAAATCTTGGCTCTCAAAGTTTCTGGAAGAAGACAAGAAGTTAACAGTTCAACTCAATATATAAACAGATAAATGGAATCCAAGACAGAAATAAGGTGCTTGCTCACTTTTAAATCTTTAGTCCAGCATCCACTTATCGACCTGAAGCGAAAGACCAAAAGAAGAGACCAGACAGAGCTTCAGCTAAAATTAATGTCAAATGCTCACAGTTTGTAGTGGTCATACAGACCTTGTGCAAACTTCACAAACCTCACTTCATCCAGTTATGCCTTACGGGCCTTGTTTGAACACTGGGTGCTAAGAGGCATTGTTGGGGGTGCTCAGCAGCCCCTGTTGCTGCAGCTGCAGTGCGCAGCTCACTGCTCTGCTTGAGATGCCTTCTGCAAAGGTGCCAGGCCACAGCCTCCTGCACTGGTAAAGCTGAGTGCAAACCAGTGCACTGGAGAGAGGATGAGCTGTGGGAGAGGAGCAGCAGGATGCTCATGAGCAGCTCTGACACACCAGTGTTTTGCAACAAGAAATGAAAACTGCATGTTTAGGCCACTTACAGTAATGGGAGTGGGAGTTCTGTGAGGATATCTTGAGTTCAATCAATTAGTTTCCCTCCCAAGGCACAAATAAATGCAAATTTTACTCATTTACATTTCTCCTGCTGACATATTTCCTGGTGGTAATCCAAGTTCTTTTGCTTATGTGCCCATGTTTCTTCTTTTAATGTCGCAGTCCTGTAGTTACTTTCTCTCTTTCTCTCTTCCCCTATATTTTTCGCACTCCCAGATGGCCTGGTTTGCTTTTTCACCTCTCCACTTTTTCCACCCCCTGTTGCAGACAGTAAATGCAACAGAATAAAAAATTAAAAGGATCCACAGCCCTTGGGGAAAGCAAATCTCTGTCCCTTGAGGCTGACAGAAGCTGAACACACTGACAGTAGCTATGCAGGCTACCTTGCATAGCTGGGGTGGGATAAATACACAGTGTGTGTCCACGGCCTTTAGAAACATATTCTTTAAATGCATTTTGTGCAACAAACTTAAGCTGTGCTTTTTAAGCCTGACTCTGTCCCAGTATAATGCTACGTGGATGAGCAGGGTACATAAATGACAGAAGATGCTTTGACCTTAGAGGTGATTTCCTCTGCTACCTCTGAGACCGTGTGATTTCAGAAAACTGTCAATGTGTCACCCACTCTATCAAGATGAAATAAATGGCCTTACCCTTGCTGTCACTGAAGTCACATACAATTCCTGATTTCCTGAAAGGAGCAAACCACAAGTTTTATGAGTTATTCTAAGGATTCTGAAATGCAATAGGAAGAGGGGAAGCCTGTCTTCCACTTCGGCTCTACTTCCAACTCAGATTTCTCCTTTAGATCACCCTAAGGAGGGGATGAACACTGCAGCAAAGATAAGTTGGTGTGCTGCACAGGACTTCCACCTGAAACGGAAATGGTTTCAAAGTGGTGAAACTGAAACAGTGATCGTAAACATGTCCTGCTCCAAACTGCACAAGAAGAAAACAGAAAATATCTGTCCGCCTCCAGAGCCAAGGGAACAAGCCTGTAGGCTGACTGCTTCTTTACAGCTTCTTCCTTTACCTTTTTATTTTGTTTAGATACCTCTTGTCTCCACGAGTCCCCTTTCCTTGTGCAGCAGCACACAGATCCCCATCACAGAGCACGCAGTTGCCAAGTGTGACCCTACTCTTGTTCGTGTACCTCTCCAAAGAGCACAGGAAGAAGAAGAAAACTGCTATTAATAATCCTCTAGTCTGACCTTTACATTTTCTTGGTATATTACATTCTCAGGGGTGCGTTCATCAGAAGGATGAACTCTCCGTCACAGAGGAAAAGACATTACAGTGGTGGAGACAGAAAGCGAGTCATGTGGGCATCTTCAGCTCAATGTGAGATTGATTGATTTCTGCAACACACAACTGCTCCTGAATTTTGGGTTCACAGTCATGTTTAAAGTGAACTTATCCGCCGGGTAATGATTTAATTTGTACACTCATTAACTGCTGTAATGGCCAGGCAGCAGGGTATTGATTAGGTGCAATATATGCTGCATAGGCAACACAATTAATAGAAAGAAGTAGATGTTCTCTCTCTGACCAGTGACCTCCCTAAGCACAACATGTAGGGCCAGAAAAGAAAGGACCTGACCATGAGGTCCTAGCCTGGCCTAGGTGAAACAGAAATAAACTCACTGCAATATCTGGCATCCTTCTTAATGGACACAGGCACGCAGTGTCTTCTGATGGAATAGGTGCCAATCTCTCTGGGGCTGTTCCTGCTGTGAAGCATTTGTTCGTGACCCTGCCTGAGCCCAGACTCACAGATCATTTAAACACGTTTCCTGAACTCGGTTCTGGCATCCCAGCTTGCCATCGCTGACTGTTCCTGGAAGCACGCAGGGTGCAGGGTGCCAGCAAGGTGCTTGGCAGAGCAGCTGTGGGATGGGGCTGATGGCTGTGAGCTGCTCAGTGCTGCCTCCCTGCAGAGCCCATGCCGATCGGACAGGTTGAGTTAAATCCCAAGACTGGCAAAAACCTCATGGGTGGCAAGATACAAATGTTGGAGCTGGCTGGCACACCTGGCTAGCAGTGTCCTGCAGCTCCCATGACTGATGCAGCAATCCCCTCGGTAGGGATGCAGGCTTGTGCTGCAGTATGTGACCTGCTCAGCCTTGAGTGTTGCAGAAACAAGGAAGTGAGCAGCTCGTAATGGGTGTGTTCTGCTCACAGGGACTCTCAGCTTTGCTAAGAGCGATTTCCATCAAGATGTCCAACTTAGGAGAAAGAACTGAAAGTGATATTTCAGCAGTAAGCATGCAGGCTGTTAGCAGGGGCATGCTGCAGCACCAAGAGCTGCTTGGAGAGGTCTGACTCCGGCATGCAGGATGTGTGGCCGGGCCCCAGAGAGCATTAGTCATGTTGTAAGGGAATGCTCAGAGCCAGCCGGAGATGAGTGTGAAGTGCAGCACGACAGAGTTGGCAGTGCCGTGCATTGAGGGTGCTGCCAGGGAACGGGTCGGTGCCACAGCCACAGTTACAGCTCCGGTCAGGTACATCGGTTGCAGCATGGGAGGTAAATTTGAAGTTTGCTTGTGAAAAAAGAAACAGATGTGGTGCCAGGAGAGGGGCAGAGCAGGAGAGCAAAGAGTCACCATTAACGTCCCCACTGATGGTGGAAAATACAAGAAGCCGTTCCCAAAGACGCGTATGGCAGGGAGCGAAGAGAACATGGGGCAGAGAAATGGGGACATTGGGGTGCCACATCCCCATCTCCAGCGAGTCGGGACCTCATAGCAGCGCACCTCGGGCGAGCAGCGCGGGGCTCTCGCATGTCGCGACACGCCCAAAGCAGGAATATCGCCTGTCGGCTTCGCGGCCGCGGCTCGCGGGGGGGCGGGGGAAACTTGACGACGGCGGGCGCCGGGGCTGCGGGGAATGGGGCGAGACGGGGTGGGAGCACCCCGCCAGCGCGGGGAGGGGGCGGGCGGGGGCCGCTTTCCAGAGAATACGGTAAACATGTCCGCATCACGTGTGGCCGCCTCCCGCCGGCCGCGGCGCGGGGACCCAGCGAGGGAGGGGCGGGACCGCACTCCGCAGCCCGCCGGAGGGTGCGGGGCCACTTTAAGAGGCCGCCGGGCGCCGCCGCCTCGCCCTGCCCGGCGCGGAGCATGCGGTAGGGCGGGCAGCGGGCGGCTCCGGCACCATGGGGCTGTGCTACAGCCTGCGCTCCCGCCTGGCCGCCGCGCACCCCTCCGTGCCCTACGGCAGCCGCGGCGAGGCGGACCCGGCGGCGGAGCAGCAGCAGTGCGGAGACCCGCAGGTGCGGCACCGGCTGCGGCAGGACCTGGTGGCCAAGGAGCGGGCGGATAAGAAGCGGAGCAAGAGCATCGATAAGACGCTGAAGGCGGAGAAGAGGGAGTACAAGCAGACGCACCGGCTGCTGCTGCTCGGTGAGCGGGGAGCGGGAGGAGGTGGCGAGTCGGCGGCTCCCGGCAGGTGCCGGGCGGCCCGGCGCGGCGTCGCAGTCAGCGCTGGATGCTGCTCCTCGGCCCCGGGCCGGGCGGTGGGCGGTGGCTGCCGGGGCAGGGCCGGGCCGCGCTCACGTGGCGGCGGCGCCTCAGCGCCTCGAGGCTCCGCGCGGGGCGGGCGGGGCGCGGGGGTCGCGCACCCTGCGGGGCTGCCGCTGCGTCCCTTCTCCCGCGTTAGTTGTCGGCACCGCGAGGAAGGGCGCCGCGTTACACCGGTGCGATCGTTCTGCGCGGAGAAAGCGTGAGGTGTTCGGCGCCCGTTCGTCTCCGAGCTTCGCCGCCGCTGCCTCCCGAAATAGCGGGGCCGGGCCGTGAGGCTCGCTCGGCTCGCGGCCGCCCCGCAGCACCTGCACGCAGCCCGCCGCGCCCTGCGGGAGGTGCGGCCGCTTCCCGAGGAGACCCCGAGGCCGCAGCCCGAGCTGCTGCGCTGCGCGGCCCCGGGCGGGTGCCGGCCTTCGGTGGCGGCCGCGGGTCCGGTGCCCCTTTGTCAGCACGCGTCGCTCGGAGCTCTGCTGTCAAACGCGGATGGGATGCAGTGCTGTGAGCCGTTCGGAATAGAGGTGGTGTGGAAGTTTGGCGAGTGCCTCCGGAGCTTCCCAGCTGCTGAAGCGTGCGTGGGGCTGCGTGTGCGCAGCGGCAGGGGTTGTGCCAGTCTTCGTGCTGAAAGTTTTGATTCCGGAAACACTGCCTTGTCTCACACGGTTGTAACCGTGCTGGGGAGTGTCTGAAAAGGCGCGTTTCCAGCTGATGGGAGGGGGCAAGGAGTGCTCGTGTAAGGCAGTGAGGTCTGCCTGCTGCAAGCCTGTGGGTGAGGAAATCACATCTTCACCCAGCAGGGCGGGCTGTGCTGGGGACGTTGTGCTCTGTAGCTTCTTAATGTGTTTCTGTCTGTAAGTCTGTTCTCTAGTGAAGTGCTTGAAGAACAAGCTATGAATATTCTTTTTTTTTTTTTTTTTTTTTTTTTTTTTTTTTCCCCCTATATTAAATTGGGAAGAAAAAAACCCAATAAACTAATGTTGGTATTGATCTGCTTGTCCTTATGACCTAAACGTTGTCCAGAAGACTTGTGTGTTCTCCTCAGGTAACATTTCAGCTGGCTGTTTTCTCGTATCGGTGCTGGCAGGCTGTGCACAGCATTGGATTTTGCAGAAGTGGCATTCCACTTGGAGTGGGTTAAACAACAAATCTGAGTAGTCCAGAGTTATCTATGTTGAAGCCAACAGAGTGCATTCTTTGTCAAAGTACTGATTTATAAATCTGATGGATATGAGTCAGTGTTATGCTGGCAGTGGTTTATTATATTTCAGCCTGGACTTGAATAGCAGGAAGTCACTTTTTGGCCCTCTTGTAAATCTCGGGATGCCTAAGAGACCCATTTCCCCGCTCCTTGCGCAGACAGACAGTTTTCCCGTTGGCTTCCTTCCCTTGCTCAGTCTCCCTGTACCCCACTCTTACAGCTACTTGGTTTTCTCTTTCTAAGCTGAAGCAAGAAGTTTGGAGTGCATTCGGTTGTACTTCATGCGCATCCGCAGGTACTGCTGCAGTAGCTGAGAGGTGTAGCCCAGATGCATATGGGTTACATCTGCAGGTTGTGCAAGGCATAATGTTGCCCTGCAGCTGGCCGAGGAAGCAGGAGCATCCAGCTCAGAGTTAAAGCAGTAGCTGAGCCTTCTTCCAACGAAAGGAGGTCAGGGTGGGTAAAAAAGCTGGAGAAATGTGGATTGGGGATTTTTCCCCTCTTGATTTGATAGCAAAAGCTTCAAAAGGTACTCATGGCTTCCTGCTTGTGCTCCAAGCTCTGATGTGCTCCTGCACGTCCTTCAGTTCTGTAGCCTAGTTAACTGTAAGGACAACCTGTCTGGTCTTTAGGCATGCTTGCAGTCTGTGTATACCACTTTCCAGGTCCTCTCAGGCTGAACTCACCCATGTGAGAAGTACTTTGAGTTTATTTCTGCAATGGAGAAGGGAACTTGGCTATCTTTATATGCCATCATAGATAGATGCACTTGTCATCCAGGGTACTTAACTGCAATATATTGAGCTACAGTACAGTGAGTAAGTGCTGTTCTGAATCTTACATAAAAGTGTTTCTAATACTTTCATACTTTGATGAAAATACAAACGCAGGCAGAGCAAATCTGAAGTTTTTGTAGGAGGACTATATTGCACAGGAAGAAAAAAAAATTACTTAAAGCTAGAAAGTATCGGTGTGAGTACTAACCATAGTCCCCCTTTCTGTGTGTATGCTGCTTGGTAAGCCCCTGGATACCATATAATTAAAGATTGTCTTGTATGGTTTACATTGTGTTGTTTTTTTTTTTCCCCACAGGCTTGCACTTCATTCAGTGCACAAGATGGATGTTGTGCAGTGAATGAGCAGCTATTCAATATTCTTATCCTCCTCATACAGTGTGTCACCCCGTGCCCTATTTACAGCGCACCATCCGTACCCCGGACTGAATAACGAACTGTTGAACTCGTGGGCTTTTCTGCAGCCCTTGTCACTGCAGGGACTGAATGTTCCATGTCAGTGACTGTGTCTGCATGGTGCTACTGTGAGATGAGGGGGCATCATCCTTTTATGGATGCTGGAGAGGGAAATGCCACTGTGGAAAGGCCAAGGTGAAAGCTGTCTGAAGCTACCATAAAGTTTGTATGTCCCATCTTTGTCTAATGCTAATTTTTCTTGATAGTATTCGGGTTCTTTTGCAGTATTTCATATGTTAAGGGCATGTATCTCATGGCTGTGGAGGCTCAATAGGTCAAGTTTTGGATGCTTTAACAGCAATCCAGGAGGTGCCAGGTGTGGGTTGGTGCCAGCAATTGCAGCACGTGTTGCTTGTTCTGCTCCAGAAGCTCAGCACCAGAGCAAAGCTGGTCTGGTTCTGCAGGGTATGTTTAATGGTGTCACCCACAATCATCCTTCATGTCATGATTTCCTACCTCGCTGTCAGCATCCTAGCACTGCTCTGCCTCCTGCAGGGGCCAGGCAGGCAAGACTGAAGAAGGTATTCTTTTATAAAAAAATAAATGTGGGCTTTGGTGCTTGATGAGATTCCATCTCACGTGAGCTTGTCACTGTAGACAGTAGTGTCATCATTCAATTACATGTCCCTTTGTTTCTTGTGCACCATGTTTAATGAGCTAAAGGGAGGGTAAGCCCTGGTAAAATAAATGTGTGATTCTTATTGGAAGATGTGGAAAAGACATGGAAGAAAAAAATAGACTAAAACTATAAGGGGAATCTGTATTTTGGTATTTTCAAATTCTTGAGAACAGGATTATTGAAACCTCTTATACCAGTTGGCATTTCTCTTCAGGAAAAGAAGGAATAGGGAGAAAAAAGAAAAAATCTGGGTTCAATCCTGTGGGATGTGAGATACAAGTGCCTCATAACCGGCTGCCCTGCTGCACGACTCGGCATCGTGCACACACACAGGCTCAGAAGGTGGCAGGACTTAATGGGCTGTCATTAGTGGTGAAGTAGGTGTAATTTTTTTCCAACAGGGCTCCCAGTAATTACCAGATACTACAAACACTTAGATGTGGGAATCTGTGGTTTCCATCTGTTGGGTACTTTCCGTTGCAGGCATGATGATCCTGCTGCAGACACCAGGAGGTGGTACAGTAATTATAGGTGTCTTCATGATGAAGACAAGTCCTACTCTGTTCCCACTGTTGTATACAGAATGCACTCTATGGCACAGAGTGTTGTCCCTTAAGCAAGGATCCTCTGGATGTGGAGCATATTTCCCTGAAGGAAAATACCTGAAAAACTTTGCAAGCTTAAACAAGGCTTTAACCAATATGCAAGCAGTGCTAGCTCCAGGAGCTGTGCTGCAGTTTGGTGAATGTTCTCTAGAACAAAGTGGTGTCTTCAGCAGTAGCACCTCTGTGCTTTGGGTCGCTTGTTACAGTAGTTCTGCTGTTCACTATTTAGAATTTCATACTAAGGAGTCAGACAAGCAGCTCATCATTCTTTGCCTTTTTTTTCCTCTTTGAATGCTGCTGACCCTGACTTTTTCTTTGTAGCATCTCCACATAAACAAAACAAAATCATTAATGTCAGGCAGACGCATGGCATGAAGAGCTTCAGCTGGCATATTTGAAATCTGGCAAAGTTAGAGCTTCAAACGGGGTCTGCAATGGGAGGTGTCAAGAAACCTGCATCTGCACTGCTATAGAAGTGTCATGATGGAGGACTGCTGTGGGTGGCATGCTATTGTTGCTAGGTTGGTCCCAGCCAGAACTGCCAAATAATTGCTTTTACAGTTGCATCTAATGCTAATGGGGTTGTTCATGTAAGCATGGATCGCTGTGGGGAAGGGGCTGAGAGGTCTGGGGAATTCCCTGATTCCTAGTGACAGTAGCAGCCATGCAGCCACAGTGTGGTTATAGACATACATCTCTTCTCCATCATATAGGCATTGTCTGTGTTAGTGGTAACCTGTGTTTTTACTCACTACGTGCCTGATGGGGTAGAGATCGTAATATGTTACTGAGGAAAGGCCATATTCATGTATAGTCAGGGATCTAATTTCAGGGTTTTATCAGACTTTTTTTTTTTTTTTTTAAACTGAGACTCTACCCGCAGCATGTGCTGGTTTTGGTTGTTGATTCTGGTTTTTTGTTCCGTCTGTTTATTCTGAAGGAAAGCAGCAGTGTTTATCCTCCTCCTGTAGAGGAAGGATGGCTGCTGGATCTCCTGGTAGCTGGCTGTACCTGAGTGAAACCACCACGTTTCTTGCCTGTAAGAAATTAAGGCTTACTCAGCATGCATGCTGGCAGGAGTCCAAAGTGTGTTGTTAGGGCAGGTGACTCCCATGAAGCTTTTCTTTAGAAGTGGGAAGAACTTTTTCACTTGCATTCTTTCCAGAGAAGACAGAAATTTCTTGGTCGCTCCTGTGCAGCCGTTACCTCTG